CTTAAGCGCCTCTTTAAGACCCTGATTCTCGTGGTGGAGGAGCTGATTTTGAATTGATATATGGTGGAGCGAGCGGCTGATCTTCCTCAGCTCCTGACTAGTCTCTTCCTTCTCTTCCTTGACTACCTTCCGCAACAGAGTCTCTATTTTGAGCCAGTCCTTGCCAGAATAGACTGAAGAAGAGCTTGTGCTGCTGTCAGAGGCCTCAGGGGTACTCTTGGCAAAGCGTTGGAGGATGACGTTAGGCTGAAGGGGTTGGTTGGTTGGTTGGTATTCATTTTACGTCTAGATAATAGGGATAAAGTCCACTATCTCGCCTCCCGAAGGGCATATACGACGTGCTGAGCTATGGGATTACAGTGCTAACACACTACCTTAGAAAGCATTTCTTGCCTGCGCGGGTATTGCTACCATTTTAAGCTACAGCTCCCCCGCCAGTTAGGGAGACTAAGCAGTGTAGATACATTAGGGTGAATCCCTTTTGTGTGTTCAAAGGCAGTGGAATGCCGTGAGAGTAGAAGAGAGAGGGAGAGTAAGAAGGAGAGTGAGGAAAGAGTACAGTTGTTTGCTGCTGTCGCAGCACAGGGTGAGCTACCGCGGGCAGACCTTGGTGTAGTATTGAGTGAGTTGGGTGAAGGCTTCAAAGGCCTCTGGATCCCTAATGAGCACACTAGTATATGCTACACCTTCGCTACGGCTGGATGGTGGTATAGGTGGTCGGAGTGGCCATTGGCTGAAGGACCCTTAGGTCTTGCAGCAGAGTACAAGGTGCTCTGGTGTCTTGTTGCGCCCGCATGAGCAGGTGAGTGTTGCGTCGTTGTGTTTGTACTTTTGGTGGTACTAGGCAAAGTCGCCGTGCATAGATCGGATTGAGAGCAGTCTAGCCAGGGTGGCTCTTGGTAGGTCTAGTTCAGGTAGTCTACTGCGTGGTGCATAGTCAAGATCCTAGCTCTTGTACCATTTTGAGAGCTTAGTCTTCTTGTTAGACCACCATGTTTGTTGCGTGTGCTGTAGCATCTTGCGGGCTATTGTCTTGATGCCTGAGAGTGTAGGCATAGCCGCTATTCCAGTCGGGGGTGATGGGTGCTGGGCTTCTAGGTTGGCAAGTCTGTCTGCTGCTTCGTTTCCTTCAATGCCTAGGTGCCCAGGGGCCCATTTGATTGAGACGTCGTGTGTCTCCATGGCACTGTGGCACTCCAGGAAGGCCCACTGTGAGGTAGGGGGTGCGTCGCCCCTGAGGCACCATATGACTGAGGTGCTGTCTATGCATAGCCAGATTCGGCGCGTGCGGAGCGCTGGTTGTCTGATAGTGTGCTAGAGGCCTTTCCACGCTCCAGTTGCCTCAGCGTCAAAGACGTGCGAGGTAGAGTGGAGTGAACCACGTCCAGTCTGCAGTTGCTTTCTGTTCTAATACACAGCGAAGCCATAGGTGACCCGCTTTTCTCCTTCCTTTGTGTACTGTTCAGAGCTATCTGAGAAGATAGTAACGTCTAAAGGTGGAAGGTTAGCCCACCATTCTTAGAAAGCCTTTGCTGCAGACTTTTTGTCTAAGCCTATAGTAGGGTCTGTGCAACAGCTAGGTGAGTAGTGAGGGGCTGATAGTGTTGTCCTAGGTATCTCAGGCAGAAGAGATCCTAGATACTGGACCTTGGTCCGCATTCGCTGCAGCTTTCCAGCTGACCTGCCTATGCTCATCCTTATAGCTACTGTGCGGCTGGCAAGTGGATGTTCTGCATCTACCGTGCGTAGATGTGTTGCAAAGCGGAGTTTGGCTTCTTCTAGTGCAGTGGCAGCAGAGGGTAGTTAGGCTGAAGGGGTGATATACCCGTTGCCTTGAAGGACCTGAGTATCAGCTCTGGAGTAAACGTGTTCGTCCAGGCCTTCCAGAACAGGTGGAAGAAGTCGCTCTTCTTGATCACTGATAGGCCCTGGCCACTGTGAAGGTGTGTTGTAAGCTCCTTTGAGTACGCCGTTGACAGAGGCTTAAACATTACTTTGTCAAGC